TGGAGCGTCCATTTTATAGCTCCATGGTCGTATGGGGGTTCTTTTGGCTGGGAGTGTGCGTGTACTTTGGACATGTTCATTTACGTGCTCAGTCGCAGACATAACGGAGAAGTTGCTAATTAATTTAAGGCCACAAAAACTCAGTTGTCAGCAAGTGGAATTCATCACAGCCTAACCTTTGCCTTGGTTGTAGAAGAATATTGACATCTTCCTAGTCGAGACTGTTAAGTACGCCAATTTGTGGTAGCCAGGTGAAGTTTGCATGTGATCATATTACATGTGTCTAGTCTGTGAATAAGTAACCAGCTGCAGCGGACACGAACTATATGTTTTCTCATGTTTATGATGCAAAGTGGTAGAGTCCATGCTACAATGTGTAAAGATTTTCTGCGACAAAGAAATGTCATTGAAAACTTTAGTTTTAGCTCTACTGAGTCTGTGAGTGGAGCGTTAGTATTCCTAAAAAGAGGAATACTAAAGCTCCACTCAGAGCTAGTTCAGTTGGTTTCTCAGCTTTCATTGCCACTTTCACATAAAATTGGAATTGCTTAGCCTAGTGGTGTTACTGTTTTGCCGCAGTGCAAGTTGCATAATGGTGTCCCCCGTCATGACATGACTGAAATTCCGATGCTGAATTGCATATCTGCCAAGGAAAATAGGAATCCTGTTTTATGCAAAGCTGTTTATCAACTTTTGTCCAGATGTCCTTACAGATGTGGTGAAAAATAAACCACGTTAGGATCTGAGGGGCATTAAAATCTGTCAAAAATATCATCTTGTCGCTCGTAGATTTGGCACACAACCAACTAGTATTTAAAGTAAACTCATGTCAAGTTGTATAAAACACCTAAAAATTGCCATAATTAAGTTTCAAATCTAAAATTTCTACAATTGAAATACTAGTAGTACACCATTTTTTGCCACTAAACATGAATTGTTCCTGTAGGTGGTTATGGAGGCAGAGGAGGTAGATCCGCCAGCCGCTATCTCACGTCTGAGGAATCAAAGACCTATAGCAATTTCACAGGAGTTGGTCCCCTGTCCCAGGGCAGTGGGGGTGGGGGATCAGGTGGAGGAGCCGGTGGGGGCATCATCAAGATACAAGTCAATGTAAGTGCCCAGCTGGATGGCGTGATATCAGCTGATGGGGAAGATGCAAGTGGCAGCAACGGAGGTGGTGGCAGCGGTGGGATCATCATCATTGACACTGTGTTGGTGGCAGGCAATGGCAGGATCTCGGCTGTTGGAGGTTTGCAGCATGATATTTTTCTCTGAACTGACATCATCTTTTAAATTTTTATTCATACTACTAAATAACTTCATGTCATGTTCAAGCTGGTCTAAGAAATATATAACGGCAGTGGTAGGATGCATACTTTCAGCAGATTGCAAGTACATGTATCTTGGCAGTTGCAAAATATTAGAATTTTGTTTAAATGTTTCTTATGCATTATCCCAGTTGTAATCATTTTGTACTTTTTTCTTTTGCAGCTCCAAAGTGCAACTGTCTGATTGCAAATAGAACTTGAAATAGGCCTGGTGGCAGAAGTGGGACGTGTTCCTTGTTTAAGACAATGCAAAAAAGCTTCACCAGTCAAACAATGGTTATACTTGTATTTTACTGTACAGGTCGTGGCAGTGGCAGTTCAGGTGGTGGAGGTGGTGGGGGGCGAGTGGTCCTGACCTATGACACCGGCGCTTTCACTGGAGAAATATTTGCCTATGGTGAACGAACAGGTAGAAATAAGACCCACCCTGAATGCTAGAGAACAGAGTTGAGATTTGTCCGGGTTTTCCCTGATTTCAGGATTTTCAAAGAGTCTCTTTCAAAATCATTAAGTTGTTCTTACGTATAAAAGTTTGTACAAGAAAAGGGTGTTTTTAACAAACACAAATGAGCACCATTAACCTGCTACTTCAAGTGATCATTTTTTGGATATTTATTTTTCTCTACTCTCACCCTTGAAGAATAAAGGCTGAGTGGCCGAATTTGAACATTTTGATTATTGATTTGGCAATAAGGATCCAGTTTTACAAAGGTACTCAAGTCACCAGCCTAATTGCTTTGCATGTTGAAATATGCAAGAGTTCGAAACCGAGAAAAATGATGCGTAATGAAAAAGTGATGAATGACCCTAAACTATTTGGTAGTTGGCAAGAAAAGTACCACTACCTCAGCTAGATTATTTGGTGTAAATCCTTTGCCGTTGTGTCCAGGTGGTACAGCTGACCCTTCGGTTACAGTCAACTCCCTGAGTTCTTCTTCCCACTACTACAACTACTATGCCTCCAATGGTCTGATCTCTAACTCGGGGTTCTGGAAGGCCTCTTCTAACAATGGCCAGCAGTACTTGGAGGTGTCCTTCAGTGGACCGATGTACATCTCGGGGGTCGCTACAAGGGGCTGTAACTCTGGTTGCCCTCGAGATGGTAGCCCCCAGTTTGTCCGGCGCTATAAGCTACAAATCAGCGAAGATGGCTCAAGCAATTTCTATTACTACAAGGTAGGGTTCAACTAGGACCAATGAGGGAGTTCTCTTTATAATATCTGAAGGGTGAGAGCATTCAGTGCATTTTGAGAAATACCTAAGCCAGTTTCTTTGATAAGTCTCCCCATATGCAAGTGTCCTGCTTAGCTGCAAAGCACAGACCTGTGCTAATTGCGGTAAGTATTTGCTTAATAAAAGGGAAAAGAAACCCCAAAAGGCTATTCACTTGCTGAAAGTCACATGATATTCATGATATTCACGTCAAATGATGTTCCACTCTCTTCTTCAGAGAAGTAGGCACACAAAACTCATTCTGCATGCTTTTTTTTTCCTGAATAGATATGTTTTATAATATTTGTACATGTAGGTGACCTGCAAGGATTTGTTGATATGCCACATTTGTTGCAGTGCACAAAACCATGTAAATATTCTGATTTCAGCTGGTACAAAGGGAATCATACAGTTGTCAGTTGTCTTACATTAGCCAAGAGCTTGCAACATCACTCACACGTGTTTATTTCTTAACTTTAATTTCTGCGAAAGAACCTTAAGAGTGGTGCTGATGTAGTTTTCGATGGAAACACCGATGGAAATGGCATTGTCCGCAACAACTTTGACGTCCCGATCCTTGTGAGGAAAGTACGATTCTATCCGACGGACTATAATCGTGGAATCGCACTGGCTGTTGAACTGTATGGCTATACACCAGGTAAAATGTCATGTGCATGTATGTACATTATTTTATTAATGGCTTTCTGTAGCAACTTTGTCAGATAGACCTGCTTACATAATGGACCGTCAAATTGTGGCTAAAGGGTAACAGCAAAGGAATGTTTAAGAAAGAAACTTCCAAGCTGCTCCTTTATAATTGAACACTGTAACCTAATTATTTGACTCATGTTCACCTTGGAAATTTAAATCATTAATAAAATAAGTAAAAAGGGCGGAAATTGTTTTGAATATTAAAAGGAACAGTCTCTGACAAATGTAAACGGTAAGTTATCTTTCATTGACAACAGAGCAGTCTAAGGCAATAAAAGTGACAGCCTATGTCTAGGTAGTATTGTGCAATCTGTGTATAGTTCGGTTTTGAACAAGTCAGTCATACTTTGTAAGTCAGCCAATCACAGACTGTTTAAAGAAAACATTGACAAAGACACTTCTCTGTCATGGTCCATCTCCATTTACTCTTCACCTGTATTGAGGATTGACTTTGACATTGGATTTCAATTGGCTTTGTGTTTGAATTGGTTATTAAACCTTCAAAGGCTGTTCTTGAGCAAATTAGCAGTGCTAAACCAGATTACCTCCAGAAAAGCCTCTGTTTGCCTTTGTCTTTGTAAAATATGTGACCTAAGAGGCCCAAAGGCTGTGAGAAGTTTGTTTGTTCATTTTTTGGGTCATTGCCTGTTTGTTTGCAGCTTCTGCCAGTGACCTTTGCTCAGGCAGTGGAGGGAATGGTGAGTCTGTCATAATTGCAAGGCATGTTTGTTGAAACTAATGAATAACTAAAGTTCAAAATAACTTTGGAGAAATTAAAAGAAAAGGCTCACTTCTTTAGCCACCAGAAACTTAGGGAAAATAAGTGAAGTGTTCGCATTATTCAGTTATTTCAGTAAATTATCAAGATTTGTGATAATTTGAATCATGTCTCATACACCTGCATACAAAAGTAGCCTTTTCTACTTGTATCATGATTTGTAGTAGCTAATTTATGAGCTAGGCATCAGTAATGGTATTTTTCCTTGTTGCAGGTTATGATTTATTCATTAATATACTAGAATTCTTTCAAATATGTTCACTGTTGCTACTTTTTCCTTTGTCAGTTTTACAAACCTTCACTCGGCCCTAAATAAGCCATTTGCGACTTAAATTTGAATAAAATCTGGTGTACTGAGTTATCTGACTACACATAAACATTACGATTTGAATTCTCCAGACTAAAGACACTGTTGCTATACCTCTCGTGATTCGGAGGAAGCTTTTGCATAACGACCACCATCTCTAGAATGGACTGGTTCCTTTGTGCCCTTCTTATCCATTGAGAACAGTGTATTGTTGCAAGGCGTCTCTTATGTAACTAAGCAAAAGCTTGCCCCGAATCAAGAGGTATAGCAACAGTGGTTTCAGTAAGGGGAATTCAAGTTGTTATGTTCACATGAATTTAAAGAACTCAGTGTGCCAGATTTGGGTCAAAATTAATTTGCAAAAGGCTTATTGTCAACTTGTTAAAACAATGTGTGCCTTGATCTTGTCACAGTTGCAGAGGCTGGTGGACCGGGCACCATTTACATCCAGCAGGGCGCCAGTGGAGCGACAGGGGGCCAACTCCAAGTGAATAACTTGGGCAAAATTCCCAATGTAAGTTCCCCCTGAACAGTTTTCTCACATCTTGGCCACTTCTTTCATAGCTTGGAATTCACTGTCATTGAGTGTTCAAACGCACCTGAGAACCCCTCTCAGAAACAACTGAATGATCAAAATTAACTCACACAAGTGAAAAAAAAACAAACTTGAAATTTAGAAAGCAATATATAAATGAAGATTTTATACTCCAATGCAGGTATTCTTTGATTGTAAGATTCTCCTTAGAATTGGGTACAAACCTTCCCTGGTTATTTTTTTGTTTTATTAATTTTGTTTTGCAGGCCAAAACAAATTCCGATTGCAGCCAGTTTTTCTTTGAAGATTCTGGTAAGTATATCAAGACATTGTGTGTTTACAAAACACTCATCCAGAGTCTATATAGTTATTGAATTCTGTCCTTTATGAATTTGAAGTGGAATCGATTTTCTTCATCTGGGATTGATAATGAGTTTTTTTTTCAAAATTGGAAAGAATAATGTTTGAGTTTTTATGCTTAAAAATGCCATCCTTGGCTTTTCGTTTGGTTGATCTCAGCTTTCTGCATTTCTTGGTCATAAATTTCAGGGGCTGCAGCCTGGATTTCGTCTGGAGGGACCAGCCATGCACTTAACTCCATTACCCTCGGTAAAGGCGGCCATCTTGTCATTGCAGCCAACACCGACTTCACCCAGGCGACCGGTGATGACACAACGATGATGCACCTCGTGTCGACTGCCACCTGCGAGCTTGGTTCACAGTTGGCGCTCACAAGCCACATTGGTACGGATGCGACTCTGCATCTACCTGGGGTTGGAATTACGATGACAAAATCTGTGACGGTTCAAGGAACTCTGAACACTGACCCTAACACCCAGTTAACATTTGGTGGGCATGTGGGTTCAAAACTCACTATGGTGCCGCACCTTTCCTCCATGCAAACGCTCAGCTTGAGGGAACTCACTATCAAGTCTAATGCCAAGCTAGACCTACAAGAGTCCTCCACTGTCGGCAATTGTGGGTACACCTTAGACGTTTCAGTTCCAGACAGAACCTTGACCATGCAGAGACCCAGTGAGCTGAAAGTTGCTTGCCCCGTCACCATTGATGTCGCGTCATTAGTTCTTGACAGTGCTGAATTCGACACTAAATCCTCATCAAGTGGGTCGTTTACTGGTACCTCGTCAGTCCGGACACCAGCTCTGACAATCACCGGTGATGTGTTGACAGGAAGGATTGACCTTCTTGACTGCTCAGACTTGGATGTTCAATCAACAGGAAATATGACCATGACCTTAGACGACCCGAGAGAGCTGAAAGCGGACACCATGAATGTGGATGGAGCCCTGACTTCTACCACTCCCATAGCTGTGTACACTAGTCGCCTGACTGTCTCTCAAGGTGGTTCCTTCACCTGGCCTGGAAGCAGTGGCTCTCTCTTAGAAAGCAACACCGCTTTCATCGATGGTTACTTCAGACCGGGAAGCTCAGTGAGTCTCGGTAATGGCCTGCCTAGTTTCACCATTGGAGTTAACGGCGACGTGTCCCTGAAACTGGATGGCCCCTTCAGGACAGACAGCTTTGAAGTCCTTGGAAAAATGGTAGTCACCCACCCGGTAGTCTTCCAAGGTGCAGTGAACCAGTTGGTGAACCGGTTCACAGTCGTGAGTGGCGGCCAGTTGGTACTTAACTCGAACAATTCACAGCTTGGTCCATCTGAGCTACATGCTAATTATGTGACAATTAATGGAACCGTAGAAGCTGGACTGCTAAACATCGGTATTGGTTGGGATGATTTACAAGTTGGTAGTGCTGGAAAATTCACCTTTGATCCAGACGAGGATTTTGCCATCAACGTTGTCTACATCTCTGGAGTTGTAGAAAGTCTAAAGCATGTTGTCATTCATGGCCGAAGCCAAACAGTGGTGGCAGTTTTTCAGACGACAGCAGGTAGCTCGGTGACCTTTGACCTTGGCCGATTCTACAATGTGTCTGGGGAGTTAAACCACACTCAGCTCCGCGTTCAGGATTTCACTGTGGGCGGTTACTTAAAAGCAAACGAGTTGAGCATTCCCAACGAGTTCAACCAGCTGACGGTGGAACAAACTGGCGAACTGCAGATGACAGCAGTTGGTAGGTTGAAACAGAAAAACTTTGAAATCTGTCATGGAAGTTGGGAAGGCAAAATAAGAAAAAACATGTAAAGCAAAATGAATTGGAAATGATTGCGCTGTCTTGCCTTTCAGATGAGTTTGAAGAGTTTGATGAGTTTTCTTCATATTCTGGGACATTTTGCTCAAGTTTGACTAAAGTACACTGCTCCCACTACTGTCTTGTTATTTTATGTATGGATCTGGTTGTTTTGACAGCTATGATTTGGGTGACTTATGTTATTATTTACATAACATTTCCTCACTGTAAGCATTCTCAAGAGCATGGAGCACGTTCGTTACAGCAACTAAAATGATTGATGTTTTAATTTGCCAGGTCCTCTTCTTATTCACAACATTCAAGTGGATGGCACTCTGCGCGTCACCAATCCCATTATTGTGACAGGCACGACGTATGACCGAGCACGTTCACTCAACATCGGTGCAACGGGAGAGGTGTTTCTGGATGAGGATGGCCGTTCGAGCAGTGAGTGGACAAATGTCTCCTACATTGGGGTCCACAGTGTCACCATCGCCGGACGTTTTTACGCGGGTCTTTTCAGCAACATCTACCCCACCACTTTCGGATGGGATTCACTCCACATGAGCGGCAACTCGGAATTCCGGTTCGAACCGGCAGACGACTTTGCGTGCGACTCTATTGTCTTTGTGGAGGGCCCCACAATGGAGTCGTTCACCCCAGTCGTCTTGCGTGGAAGCACATACCAGCTGATTCAGCAACTGACCATTTCCCATCCTGGTGCCCTGCTGTTGGACACCAATGAGGGAAACAAGAACGTCTGGCGCAACATAAGCTCGGAAGTTCATGCAGAAATCGTCACAGTTGACGGTACATTCCATGCAGGACTTGTATACATTGGAGTTGGGTGGAAGACACTTGGTGTTGGGGGCCAAGGATTATTTACGCTCCAATCCACTGACTTTCCAGTGAATAACATGACTATAAATAGTCCGTCTGGTCGCATGGAGGTCTTGACCCCACTGAATATTCATGGCAGGGAACAGTCCCACGTCTACGATATGATTGTTGAGTCCGGTGCCACTCTTACACTGGACACTGGCAATTATGCAGGCACCGAGCTCACAAATAATTCGTACTCCACTGTCCTTGCAGACTATGTGACAATTGGCGGGAATTTTCTGGCAAATAAACTTTCCATCTCTTCGTATGTAATTGCCATCCATGGGCTATTATCATTTTATGCCAGCACTCCGGAGGAATTTGACACACTAACTATTTCGTCAGGGGGACAAGTCCAGGTCAATAATCCAGCAACATTTTTGGGTCGGTCGTCCAACCGCACTGACACCATAGAAATCGAAGGCCGTATGAAACTTCACTCTGCCATCAGTAACCATAACAACCATCTGTGGCCATCCAATCAGAGTTCAGTTTTCCACCTAGATCATTTGAATGTTAGCGGCACTCTGGAGGGTGGAGCCCTGTCGGTCGGAAGTGGCTGGCAAACTCTCTTGGTTGGGGACCTGGGAACTGTCACCTTCCAACCGGAAGGAACGTACAGGATAGATGATGTCGTAATAGCCGGTCACGTGACTGCATTCACCGCTATGCCCACCACGGCACCGCTGATATCAGACAACCTCCGAATCTACTCCACGGCTGTCTTTGATATCGACTTCCGAGGCCCACCGGGGGAAACAGGTGAGGGGGCTACCAATTCGACCCTCCTGGTTAACAACATTCACATCACTGACGGAACCCTGCAGGCCGGCTCCCTGTGGATAGAGGCTGATGACATCACCGTTGGCAACGGAGGAGTGCTGACTGTAGTTGGAGGTGGCCATTTATCAGATCAAGGCCCAGGTAATGCCACTGAATTCTATAATTCCATATCTCCAAATTACATAATTAATCTCATTTCTCTGATTATTCTGGTCAAGATATAGTCAGTAATCAAATTTGCACAAGTTCTATACATTGTATTCCTATCAGCTTTGTTGTCAAGCTCCTTGTAAATCAGTAAATCTATTGACATTAATTGTCTTCAATACAAGTCGTCGGTTACAGAGATTGAAATAATTGTTAATGTTTAACCCTAATGGCCCCAGTTTTGTCAGAGTCCACTACTCGGTCCAATTTCATGAAGCTGCTTCCAAGGCAGAAATGATTACTGTTTAGAATTTCATGCTGAGCAAAATTCTGCTGGGAACCAGGCAGAACCAGTTCATCACACAAGATGATTAGTTGGTAAAGTGTTTCTGCTAAGCAAATTTGTTGGTACTTTAATAGCAGATGCATGAAATTGGCATCTGTTTTCTTCCATTTTTTTGGTTCTGATACCGGTATGTCCCAGCCACTGTTACTTTGATAACATATACGTACCATTGGTTTTGGGCAGTGCAAAGAATTTGACGATTTGGGGAAATTTTTTGGCAAAAATGTAGGAGTTTTGGTAACTGTTTTTTTTTCATTTTTTCACCCCTGAACAGTTGGTAAATTGCTGTAGCCATTTTGTAGTGAAAGAATGCAAAAGTGACGCAGTAATCAATTTTCTTTCTTCAAATGAACAGTGACTCCATAAGTTTTTTTGTTTTCAAAATTTATTTCAATTATTGTTTGTAATTTGTATTTAGCTCCTGAGTGCACCTGTAACTGTAGGGATTTCTTAAACACCTGTGCCAATTTCTCATCAAAAACACAATTCTTCCATAAAGTATATAATTTGGTGAAGGAAATCACAAAAATGTGAATTGTTTGTAAGGGGAGCCCGTCAGACTGTGCTGAATGGGGAGTTACATGTACATGTATATTTATGTGTAATTGTACATTGTACCTGTACTATTTGATTTTCTATTCTTGTCATTTTGGAGTTAAACTAAAAATATATCACGGTCAAAGGGAAAGGACCATTGTTGGTTGGTATACACCGTAGGATCGATATTTTTCAAAATGTATGGTTTTCATGTACATGTAGAGGAAATTGCCGATTTTTGTTGGATTTGTTAAGATTATTAGGGATATCATTTTATTTAATATTAAATTCTCTTTGATCCATTTCATTTTTCAAATCAAGGAGCTGGTATTGGGTATGCCTATGGAGCCTCGGGGGCAAGCCACGGAGGGCGTGGCGGGCGAGGGGGCTACTCCTCCCAGCGCACCATCGCGGAGAATCTCCCCTATGGCAACATCTACGAGATGGGTAGCTGGGGGAGTGGGGGCGGGTCTGGTAGTGGCTTAGGGGGGCGGGGAGGCGGCCGGATTGTTGCTCTTGTCTCTGGTACTGTTGTGGTCGATGGAACCATTCGCCTTGATGCAGATGATGCAGCGGTAGGTATTTCAGTAAACCACAGCATGTTTCCATGGAAGCTGTTTTGTTTCATGCAACACTAGACACTGGTGTTTCTTGTTGATAATAAAAACTGAAAAGGAGCAATTGCTCTTAAAATGGTTGGCCATGGTTGTTTTTTGACTCCGGTGTCAAAATGGTAAATTGTACTTACTAGTAAGCAAAGTTTGTAATTCTTGTATGTAATGAAAATGTGTGCACGTACTTAAAAACCGAAAATCCCAAGATTGCTGGCTGCGATTGGACCTCTGACACTACTGATGCATATATGTGTCAATTGATCTTACAATGTATATGTATTTTTTAGGCAGACATACAGGTATTGAATTGAAAGCAGGGTCATCTGTTTTATTTGGGGAGTTTGAGAATAAGAAGGGAAGCAGTTAAATTAAAGTTGAATTTTATTTACTTTGATGAATGATTTGAAATGTGTGATGTATTATATCTAACATATATATATACATTATATCTTACAAAAATGACAGGCATGGAGGCCAACTAGTCTCGGACTATTTGGCAGATTAAGTTGAATAGAAAAACATAATCAGAAATGGCTTCCCTGAGAATAAGGTGTACTTGAGATTTTTCTTTTTTGGTTTTGATTCTTTACAGGGGTCGCATGCTTCTGGAGGAAGTGGTGGTGCATTGTGGGTAGAATGCAATGAATTCCGTGGCACAGGCAACATCTACGACAATGGCGGCGCGGGCAAGGGGTATGGTGGGGGCGGGGCTGGTGGTCTAGTGTCAATCAGTTATCACCATGGCAACTTCAAAAGTGGGCACATCTTTGCCAAAGGCAAGTGTTTGTGAATAGCCAAGGTAGAAAACAGGGCTTCAAAAGCTTCATAAAAACAAGAAAAACACATAAGTTTTAGAAAAGCATAAAATTTGCCACACTGCCAAAATGTTCCCAGAATTTCTACATTAAATTTTCCCCAAAATATGCACATCACAATAAATAAATAGGAGACAATTTTATACCAAGAGTAAGAGTAAGTACAGCTAGTAAGAGCAAAGGTTTTAACAGAATTCCTACAATGATGTGTCATAGAATTCCTACGTTTATCTTTCATTTTTACAGGTGGTGGTGTTGCAAATTCTAATGCGGAACCAGGAGGGCCTGGGGTAGCATACATGGAAGGCCAAGAACCAGTCCACAAGAACCTTCGCATTGACAACCGGTGTCAAAGTGCAAAGGTCACTAAGCCCAGTGGTAGCCGAGCCACTGCCGAGGACTATGCCAATTACATATCAACAGGTAAACATCAAATATCAAAAATAATCGTAAGGAAATAAAATTCAAATATTATAGCTGTGGCTGTGTTGAAGATGCTGCATGGCCACATCAGAGCTACAGTCCTTGTGATTTGGAAATTGCAGGCATGTGAAAAAAATGTTCCTGGACATTTCCAGGTGTGCAATTTTTCGAGGAGTGTCATTTTGAACAATAAGCCAGACCCTTGGGTCAATCAAGACATAGCAAAATACAAAGATAAAATAACCAAGAGATAAAAAACCAACAAAAAAAAGTGCAAGAGTTTCAGATTACACCTTCTTACTTCAAGGTATGTCCAATACATGTAAAAAGAATCAAAGTTTTACGACGGTCATAAAATTATGCCGTTTCCATAATAACAGCCTCAACGGACCATGCAGAGCTCCTCTGAACGAGCCACAAGATCACTCCAATGTTTTCTATGAAGTTTTTCCAATAAATCTCCCGATTTTCTTGATTTTTTTTTTTTGGGCCAAATCTCTTTCCTGTGAGTTATGTTCGTTCATAACACTAAACAATTTTATTGGGAAACATCAGGGCGTTTACGTGTCTGTACGCAAAGATCTGCTGTGATCCACGCTGGCATGATCTCTCCATGGCTTTCGCATACTACATGTACGTGGTGCATCATGATTGACTGGTCTGATCCCAGTCTCAACTTCAAAGGAATTTGTTGGTTCACTACGCGTAGGGCGTGGGAGCCTGCATCATGAAAGCTTGTCGACTTCTGGAGATTATTTTGTGCAGATGCAAGTAAAAGCCCAGATAATTTTTTTCCAAAAAATGACATTGTTGTGATCGGAACAACTTACAGGACAGACATCTCCACGAAATACTTGGGGTAACCAGGGAATTCATTGGAAAAATTTGACTGAGAAGTGGTGTGAGCTTGTGGCACTACATGTGACATTTACAAGCTCATAAAGCAATGCAGCAATGCTTGCTGCAGAGCTGTGCAACGTGGGTGTGCTTAAACGATTGCACACTGACAGAACTGTTACACAAAACTGTTTCGCAGGGAGAATCAAAATTATTTTCATCACTAACTGTTAGGTAGGCCTAATGTTTGATTCTTTTCATTTCGTTTTCTCAAAAATTGTGAAGTATAATTATAAAGTAAACTCATGCTGAGGAGTGTTGTACGACTGGTTTCAGGCTTGCAATCATTGGCACTTCTCGGAAAGCTTTTAGGCATGCGATGGCGTGGGAGTGCAATCGCAAGCCTTAAAATGAAAGGACTGGAGCTAAGGTAGGAAATACCACACATTCATGTGTACTGGTTTGCATTAGTAACAGTGCATTGCACCTGACTAATTTACAGCTGAATGAGCACAAAGTTATTCCGTTCATCAGTGTCAGAAATGTTCCCTTGATGCAGAAGTGCCCTGAGAAAAATAACTTCTCCCCATTTTATTAAATTTTTTCAGGTGCAGTTGCTTATCTTTTGCCACTGACTGATGACTTTGTCTACGAGTTCACTCTCATTGAGCTCTACGGTGGAGCTGAGTTGACCTTTGACCGTAATCGCACAGTTGTTCGCTCAGGAGAGATCGTAGGAGATGACACAGGTTATCTACACGTTGCGCCCTTCCACACTTTGGATATTAACAAGGTATTCAAAATTTTCCAGTAACGTCAAAAAGGTTATGTAAAAAGAAGGTGTCAAAGGAAGCATACTAAAAGCGATAGACTACGAGGACACTTTTATTGAGTTCTTTTTTTTTTTATTTAAAGCACTTTGCTTTAATAACCATAGCCAGGCAAGGTGTGCTTTGAGTAAACCTTTTAACCAGAGGGACAGCAAGTGTCCTCATTCTTACATATGAGGACACACATTATCTTCATATGAGGACATGTAATGTCATCCAATATATATGGAGACACGATGTCTCCATATGAATAGACAGGATTCTCATCCTCATGGGAATGCATGCAGTGTCTTTATGAGGACTTGCAATGTCTCCATCACCACATATAATTACACACAGTATTGTCATATGAAGACAATGTCCTCACACCTTCTGAGATGTATCATTTGTAGTCATATACCTTGACACCACTTTGTGTGTTCTGGTTTGTCAAATGTTCAGTGCACGCAGATATGTACATGTATGTGTAACTTTGTGAAAATAACTTGCTTGACTCCTTGTCAAAGAATTTGCTACTTGATCTACCTCATGCTTTGATGTTTCACATGTTGTCATGCCTTGTGGTAAGGTGTCCCTGCCTTGAGGTTTCACCGGTTGTCATGCCATGTGGTAAGGCTTCCCTGCCTGTTATCTGATTGGTCAAATTCTCAGGGGGACCAGACCGTGGATGTAAATCACATGACAAAGTGTGATGGGTCATTAAGATGATCACACCTTGACCAGTGGAAAATCCCATTGTCTGAGAGCTATTAAACCATCTTGACCCTCTTGTCTCTGAGGTGATGAAAATTGAATTTTTCAATACAGTTGTCTCCCTACAAAAGACTCAACGTCACGTGGGCGCCCTACGTCTACGAAAATGCAACACTCGTTCTGCCTCCGGCTACCATAGAGTTTCGCCAGTCCTTTGATTGGACCCAAATCTATCCTTCAGCCGCCTGCCCTAATACCATGTTGATCAGCTCTGAAGTGACCGTGTGGGGAACACTGGATGGGTCAAGGGCTCACTTGCTGGTTGGGTCTGGTAAGTGTAACCAGCCTTGAGTCTTGAGATTTGACCAAAATTACTTTCATGTGAGACTTGACCAGGGTGATTGGAGACTTGACTTGAATGACTTCCGAGTTTACCTCAGTAACTCAAAAGTCGGCCCGAGTAACTTGAGATGTGACCAAAGTGATATAATAGTTTTGTATTTTTTGAAAACGAGTAATTCTTTACATGCAGATTCTCAGGT